TCACACACTTAAATTAAGGAGAAACTACTGTGTACAAAGAGGTATCATATTACGGACTAGTGATCCGAGAAAAGATCATGCAGCCATCGGCCACTAGGAACTTTGTTTACTTTATTCTCCTGCGACACTATATGCTATTCCCTCTTCCGCTCTACCTTCATCTCTCTCTCTCTCTCTCTCATATATATCCCTGATATATATCTAGAACAAAAACATGTTCAAGCATTCCCTTTCTGCGTGGTAGTGTTCTGTGGCTAGCAAAAGTCATTTCCTCGCTAAGCTCACGATTATGGCAAAATAGTTGCCGGAAACCGCAGACGACACTCGTCGCTAGTTCTGGCAAAACGGCCGATACAATCTTTTTTTCGCATTTCCCCGCTCGCTGTCAAGGACAAGGGGGTTCGCTTCAACCAGCAAAACATGGCCGCCGACGCCTGTTTACTGAGCAGTCATGCCTGTCGCCATCTCACTCGCTGGCGTCACGGGCGATAATATCAGGCACAAAGGGGCACACCAACCGGCAGCATTATCCCCAAATACTCGAGCCTCGCGTAAATACATAGAGTGTAAACGCTGTCGCCATGTTATCGTAGTAGGACCGCCCCCCCCCCCCCCCCTCCCCCAACGGGGGACTGCAGTACGCGACGGCGTACTAACACAACGGCGACGATATCGACATCGCGGGCTCCGAATTTTCCCATAGTTCTACTCCATGGGCATTTCTCGAAACGCTTGATATTGTGTACGCCCGCCAGGAAGGATTTCAGGCGCGTAGTTAAGATAAGGCGGTTCTCCGCGGCAAAAGAAAGCAATTTCACAAAAGCTTAAAAGCGGCGGCGACGCGTGTGCGGTGAACGCTTGTAGTTTTGGTGTAGACAGGGTGTGTGTGTTCTCGTTGTTGACACCAGCCGGCGATAAGGCACTGCAGGCGGTAGCTCAGTACAGCAAGGGCTAATCCGAGTGACCATCAACGTAACCCCACCGCCAACCCCTCGCGAACCGGTCGCCGACATGGCTCAGGCTGTGTCATGAACCACGTGGTAGAAGCTCGGGTGCTTTCATATCAGCGCGTGGAGGGACGACAGTGCGATTCCGGAAAGTCTTTTTCGAAGGCCGCTGACCACAATTCTTTGTCTGGAGACTTTCCCTCTTTCTTCCTTTGACGTGGATCAAGCTTTGCCGACAGCCTCAGTTGTGACCTCTCTTTTCAAATGTACGTTTGCAGTGAGTGAGCTCCTCAGCCTCGGACTTGTCACTTGTGCACCCAGTAGTTCTTTCACTTGGCAATTATATGCTATCAGTTGGGGTTTAATTTCTATTATTTTGTGTATACATTATGAAGACGTCCTGGAGCTCCGAACGAGTGTTTTGTGCAGATTACTTTTGCAAACACAAAAAGACTATACCAAAGCAGCGGAATTTTCGAAGTGTTGGCGAGTTGGACCTAAACTCGTTGAAGCAAATTCTTCCGCCTGACTGTTCCACCAAAGTGAGTGCGACGGACTACCTGTGCTACCATTGATTCATGCACATCACTAAGCAAATCTCGATGCGAAGCTCAGAGCAGTGCCCTGACATATTTGTGCCAGCTGAAGAAGCAATTGAAGATCTAAATCGCAGCATACTACCTACAGATGTGTCGCCGCTGAGACAACCAAGCGTCGTAAGAAGTCGGGACAGGCCTGCCTATGTCAAGAGAAAGCAGACAGAACTGGAGCAGGTTGCTGTCAAGAATATACGCTCAAGGCTACGTATTGCGTACGACAGGGACGCACCATTGGGGTCGTCCGAACCAACATGCTCCACATGCACTGAGTGGGTGGACAACTTTCGGCAGGCCTTTGAAACCGCCACCTCTCTCCGGGAACGTTGTCAACTGCTTACACTCCTGCCGTCAACACTGACGAAGAATGAGGTTCAAAAGATGATTCCACAGGCCTCAATGTACCTCATCAGTAAATCCCGAAAACTCAAGGAAAAGCATGGCGTGTGGTATGAGCCGGATCCTTACACGAGGTGCAAGGTAAGCCCTGAGAACCTGTCTGCTGCCCTAGAGTACTTCACGAAAGACGAGCTACAATGTTCGCGCCAAAGTCCCAACCAGAAGGACGTCATCTCTGTCATGCTCAACGGAGAGAAAACGTTCGTGCCAAAGCGCTTCATGACACGCTCAATACGAGAGGCCTTCCGTATATACAAAGACAAGCATCCCGATTCCGGCGTTGGGCTAACGAAATTTTATTCGTTGCGCCCTAGATGGGTCCAATGTATTCCACACCAGGAAGTGTGCGTTTGTGTGCGCTGCGCCAATTATTATCTTTGTATTGCCGCTCTAGAGAACGTTACAGGCTCAACATTCAACACTGGTGAAATGAACTCGGCATTTCTGTGCGACCCAGCAACAGAACTGTGCCTTCAAGGAGACTGTGATCACTGCCCAAAAGGCCAGTTTCTTACACTCCAGGAACTTGATATCCCGGAGGATGAAGAGATTGTGCTTGCAACATGGGAGTCCGGCGACCTTGTGAAAAAAACTTTGGAACCGGAGACTTTCCTAAAAGTCATCCAAGTGACGGTTGGAAGTTGGGTACTTCACAACCATATCCGGCAAACGCAAGGTAAAGCGATCTACGATGAAAAACAGTGCATGCAACGCGGGAGCATTGTCTTTCATTTTGACTTTGCTGAAAACTGGACCATCGTGCTTCCTGACGAAGTGCAAGCATATCACTGGAAAAAAAAAAAACAAGTTTCGATATTTACATGTGTAGTGACGACAAGAAAATCTACAAACAGCTTTGCCATCATCAGTGAGGACCTGTGTCACGACGCCGCTCACGCTTGCTTGGCTCTAGAAAAAGTGAAGGAGTGGGTTGAAGACAACGTTGCGGTATACTCGTACGTGACGTACGTAAGTGACGGCGCCGCCAGTCATTTCAAGAATCGCTACCAGCTTCACAAATTTGCAAAGGACGATTGCCCACAAGCCCAGTGGTTATTTTCTGCATCTGGACATGGGAAAAATGCATGTGACGGAGTTGGCGGACTCGTGAAGCACCAGGCCACGCTGAACAACCTGAGAGAACGTTCAGTAAGCGCAATTCAGACGGCCAGGACAATGATGAGCGTTCTATCAAAGAAACTGAAAGGCGTGCATCTTGTATATCTGGACGAAAATGAGGTTGTTCGGTATCGTGAACAAAAAAAAAAGAAGAGTGGCTGACGGTGCGCGCCTTCCCTGGCATTCAGTCTTGGCACGCGTGGCGGCTCAGCAAGTCATCAACAGAAGGGACCTGTGACGTATATGTAGCACGGACAGTCGGATCTGCTTGGAAGCAACTTTATTAAATGGGTACAGCGAGGAAAACCTTAGCGTAAAGTGCCGAATTTGATTTCCCCAGGACTGCTCATTTTGAATGCAGGGACATCTTATTTATCACATTTTTCTTCACGGGGTATTTAACCTACTGTTTTTGTTGGTGGTTACTAATAATTTTTATCTGATCACTATAAAAAAAATCTCAAAATGTTATCCTCGAGCAGGATAAAATATATCGGCTTGCCACGATTCATTCATACACCGAGAGCATCGAAGCTGCTCCAGTTAGGCACTATGGCATCCGTCACCTGAAATTGTTTGTAGTCGTAAATACACAGCCAACCTAAATATCTTACTATTATATCTTTGTTTTTGTGTGTGGAAGTAAAGTTATTTATTTTACTCTAGATGTAAAATATACCGGAAGGTACAACTTCACACTGCATCATCTTTTCTCAAATCATTAGTCTCTAATATGATACCACTTTGTACGCTTATGCAAAATTCTGTATATAGTTTCTCCTCCCTTTTACTGTGTGACCGATCGCTCTTTTTATCAATGACCTCATCTGAATAAATGTATATAAAAGATTTGTGCAAGTTTCATGAAACTGGAACTCAGAGTCACTTCTTGTATAGGACACTGCTAAGTGTAGGCTTTGAAAAAGGACCCTACTTTGGGGAGTTGTTTCTTCTTTCACAGTGCAATGATGCAACATGTTATTAATAGAAATGAATGCCGAAATAGAGTATAACAGGGTACCCAAATTTATAAAAAATCAAAGGTGCTGTTTTTTTTTATTCGGATTGGAATTTTTCTTTGTTTGATTTTTTTCCCATGTTTGCCTAAATATATTGTAACTATTGTGTCACTCAGATACCTTATTTATTTTTTCAATAATAGCCATATATTAGTAAAATAATGTCTGCAAGTTATGTAATAATGATTAAATTATTTCATGAGATACAGATTTCCAAAGTTTGCCATTTGTCGTTTGAGCAGGCATGTTTGGCAATTTTTAGAAAACTAAGTAAATTTTTAATAAATATATTACTTTATATTACAAGCAAGTTGTACCCATAGTTTGTTTGTAAAAAGTTTTAAAATTCTCCTAATTTTATTGTTTTAATTATTCACTTTCAAACTTGCCCCCTCCATCAGTGCGCGTTATTGCAACTGTCCACCTCTCCCTGCCTTACGATTTTTCTTGTCTCCAAATTTTTTTTCTGGTCAAAACTAAGTGTGGATTCGTTTATACCAGACACTAGACAATGTCATATAAAAACATCAGTTGATTTAAAAATGTCGACCAGCCACCCTTTGGTCGATCTTATCTGAAATCACCCAATGACAGAATAAGGGAGCGTCCTGACCGCAACGGAACGGTCCCCGACTCGTCACTTGCCAGTCTACACTAGAACCGCTGGGAATGCAAACCAGATTTTAAAGCGACTAAAGTGGCTAGCAAATGAAAAACAAAAATGGCGCGCGAGATTCATGAAGCCCTCCATATCAATTAGCTGGCAACGATGTCTGCTTGAGCGCCCCTTCTCCAGCGCTGTCTGGTAAAGAGTTTGCGTATATCATCTGTCCATGCCTTTGGTCGTTTTACTTCAAGAAGATTATAATGATCCTTGGTGGCTTGCACTAGAAAAGGGTGTAAGTAGGTGCAGATCTCACCGTACAGCATCGGGTCCTTGCTGAATCCGTCCAGGCTGGAGCTTCCCTTCCAGTTAAAGGTGTAGCACATGTAGTGCGGCAGCCTCGAGAAAGACTGGGTTATGTTTCTGTAAATTCAGGTACTTAAGTCTATCGGTTTTATCAATCAATATTATCTCTCACCTAAAGAACGTTAAGCGGCTGATACTTGTTTATTGTGAAGAAAACAGTTGAGACCAATAATCAGAAAGGTGAACAGACAAAATATTTTACAGTGAAACTGTATATGACTCGCAGGTCGGAAATCTGGAATTTTTTCGTGTCGTCGTCCTCACACACACACACACAAAAGACTATTTAGCGATTGAAGCGAAAAGTGCATATCGCGCATATAACATACAACACAGCATTCGTTTCAATAATGAGCAAGCACAAAACAAGCATCCGAACCACAGAATTCGTGATAAGGCGCTCCTGATAACAATGCCAAGCTCCTGGCGCTCACCGCATACCTTTCCCGGTAAAGGTTACTGTTGCACGCACTGCCGCGGCGACGGTAGCTTGCGACGTAGGGAGTGGCGTTACTAGCCTTTGTGGCTTTGTGGTTTACAAAAATATTCGAACATTTTTAGCAGATGTCGCGCTTCTTTGTTGCGTTAACCTGGATAATTGGGGGTTAAACGTCTCATCGACATTTCAAGCAGGGGTGTTTGGGTAAGCTTTGTTCATTCCTTTGATGAACCGGAAGTTCTCTGGGACGTCGAGGACTGGGGCACTGCCTGGTGGCGTTTGCCATGAAAAGCGTCTATAGTGCAGTGGGCAATCGTTGCAGGTGATACCACAGCTTCGCTGGCAAACCACCTCCACAGCGTGGATTGGAGCCCCAAATGTTTTGAAGCATTATCTCAACACATTTGTTTTAAAGTTAATAATAATGTAGTTCTTATATAGTTAAAAATGTTATGCAGTCGCGCATTTAGATATAATCTATTTCAAAATGTACTTAAGAATACACGGAAGGTTGCTTCAGGTACTACTTACTTTTCACAGTAAGGTTTGTTCTAGAAATAGACAACACTTTTATACAATGAGTATGTGACTGATGTCGAAGCAATATTTGAACTATAGAAAAAATTAAAATAGACAGCGAAAAATAACTTCCCAATATTTTATTCTTTACTTTTTTAGAAACACAATTATCCGTGTCTATACAATGCCAAACTGTATTCTCGTTTCAAACTCGAGAAACAGTGTCCGGTTCAGCAGATGGTGCAAAAGAAGGGCAGTTCAATAAACACTTTTTGTAAATCTCGTTTCTAGACTGGCAGCGTCGTAATCAACCAGAGACACCTAGAATATCCACTCACGTTATTCCAATATTGTTGGATACAAAGACGCCTCATTCCAGACATTTGATACCAAAAGTATTTTAATTTGCTAGTCGGATCCCCTTTGCTTAGGATGCACCAACTAGCTAAGCAATGCACTTTACTATATTACATTTCTAGCAGTACTGCACCATTCGCTGTCATATTTTGTGCAAGCATATGCTTTTCATTTTGGTAGATGCCGCAAAATTAACGGCAGAAAGGTTCATAGCACCTCAATATCATCGTGAACAAGCGATCGCCGTTTTTTTATTGTTTTTAATCGAAATGGGGCTGTCAAAACTATTATATTGCGCCGGAAAGTGCTTATTTGGGGAACTAACCTAAGCGGAGAAAATGTCCGCCAATACCTTGGAGAAGCCAAATGGAAAAAAAGTCCCGATGTTCTGTGTGCGCTGACGGTGTTGCATAGTGCATCTCGTCGTAGCTGAATAATACTATCTTGTAGCAATGCAGATATAGTTACCAAGAATTGAATGCATCTATACACGTTTACAAGCTACCATTTTAAGCGATGATTGCGCCGCGTAACGTTTCCGCCACCTTGGGGTTTGCTATAGGGGCATTTCATTGGGGTGCGCGAATGTGGGCCAACCAGGAAATGCAGTAGCCATGATGGGTTCTGCGTCGCGAATATTATTCGTTTGAAGATTTCGTCTTCGTATTTTTTGTAAACTATGTAATGCATATCTCTAGACCATTAACTTGTCCTTGGCGACGTCAACCTCAAGCCAGTTCAAAGAGGTACACTAAAAAGTGCAGTTAAAATAAAACTTTGTCGTAAATTGTAATGCATCTGAAAATTACGAGTTAATTTTTAACTTCACCTCTCTTAGTTATAGGGCGTTCACTTTCACGGGTTTGGCTGCCGATTTCAAGGTGTAGGTTTCCCGGTGTGGTCAGCTTAAAGGCTACTTTGCCGATTTTTTCTTCGTAGTTCTTAACTTGCCTCAACAATTCACAACACATCCCGCCGCAGAACCATATGGCTCATATGGCTGAACTAGTAACTCATTAATTACGTCAAAACAAATTGTTTTTGCGAAGGTATGTAATTTACAATTTTGATCCTCATTGTACTTCTTTTTTATTATTTTCTTAACAAAATATTTGTGCGAAAAACCGGACAAAATTACGCTAGCGGCAGGCCCAGGTGTACATGTCGTGCCGTGTTTCAAAATGATTACAAGGAGTTTAATGTGCAAAAACTGCTGCGCAATCCATCTTAGCACTCGCTCAGCAGCACAGAAATGCGCGAAATACTTTGTTTTCTAGAATGTCTGCTCGCGCCTGCCAGTGATGTCACGTTACCGGAACTTACAGGGGTGCTGGTATTTACATCGCGCTCATTTCCCGTTTCCTCAGTGTTCATAATATAATGTCGTGAAAGTGAATCCCGGGCACCCAAAAGGTGTAGAGTTTTAGAGCGCAGCTCTTAGGCGCCCGTTTGCGGCCTGAGCGGCGTCGCCGTCGCCGTCGGCGTAACCGCGCGGTGCATTATGGGACATTTCCCATGATGCACCGCGTGGGGAGGAGGACCAGGAGGACGAGGGGGAGGGGAGGGGGAGGAGGAGGGATGGAGGAGGGGGAAGAGCAGGAGGAAAGAGGGGAGGAGGAGGGAGGGGGAGGACGATGAGAAGGAAAGGAGCTTGAAGGATGAGGGAAGGGGAGGTGAAGGAGGAGGATGTGAGAGAGGGGGAGGAGAGTAGGAGGAGGAGGAAAAGGAGAGAGGAGGGGTATACCCTCCCCTCAGTACCCTTGCCTCCTCCTCCTCAAGAGCCGCGCTCTAATTCGGCATTACAGAGTGTTGTAAACGTCTTTCATTTTTTGTCGCTCAAAAAATGGGCGGTATTCTCCACTATATTTCAACTTGTCAAATTAAAATTCTGTCCTGCCAGGTTTAATAATTGGCTTTGTCAACATCTTCGGCTAAGTAGAAAGATACAAGCACTGTTATTTCCATATTTGACTCGGAAAAATTGCCCCAATGTTAACGATCTGTTAGCCGGTACAACCTGTTCTCTGCACCCGCAGTAGCGGTCTCGATAATACTGAGTTGTCCAGTGGGCTTGTACCCTGGTTGCAGGAGCACATTTAACCGCAGTTAAGTGGGATTGAAGTATGGGCAGTAATAGCTAACCATACTTAAAGGTGCACTGAAATGTTTTGTAGCGTGAGCTACACTGGCCGAGGTTGAGCAGTTTCGCGTGGCTCGCATAATGAGCCGGGCTCCGTGCTGCGCATGCGCGAGGAGCAGTTACGTCACACGGCGCACAGCTGGCGCGCCGGAGCCGCCGCCGCCGCCGCGCTCGCCTCGCCGGTCTTCGCATTCCAGAGGAGTGACGTCATAGCCGCGGCAGACGCACTGGCGCCGCCGCGTGCCCAGCTGTGTGCCTCCGTTGCGCAGTAGCCAACTCTGACGCTGCACCGGAGCTGCTTGATAGCGCCTCTCATTTTGTGCGCATAAGCTCACGCTACGTATATCCTGGCATAGCCGAGCTAAGCCACCGCAATTTTTTTAGGTCGTCATCTTGTGGTGAAAGCATCCGAAAATCTAAATACTACAATCGTGCGTGGCCTCTTTCCCTGTTTAAAATTAAGAAGATAAAAACTACCTATAGCGGACGCTAAAGGCACTTAAGACTGGTTACGAGTAGCGCGTCACGTCTTCCATTATCACACGGCGCTCCGGCAGTGACATCACGCTCCCCCACTGCGCAGGCGCGGTGAACCCCTGTGGCTCCATGGCTTCCGTGACGATGAATCTGCGTTTCTGAGCTTTTCTTTGTGTGTTTATTTCTGAATCGCGTCAGCTTTGACCTTGAGCGCCCTGCCGGCTTCCGTGACGATGCATCTGCGTTGATGTGCTTTTCTTTGCGTTTTATTTCGGAGGCGCGTCCGCTTTGACCTTGAGCGCCCTGCCGGCTTCCGTGACGATGCATCTGCGTTGATGTGCTTTTCTTTGCGTTTTATTTCTGAATCGCGTCCGCTTTGACCTTGAGCGCCCTGCCGGCTTCCGTGACGATGCATCTGCGTTGATGTGCCTTTCTTTGCGTTTTATTTCAGAGGCGCGTCCGCTTTGACCTTGAGCGCCCTGCCGGCTTCCGTGACGATGCATCTGCGTCGATGTGCTTTTCTTTGCGTTTTATTTCGGAGGCGCGTTCGCTTTGACCTTGAGCGCCCTGCCGGCTTCCGTGACGATGCATCTGCGTTGATGTGCTTTTCTTTGCGTTTTATTTCGGAGGCGCATCCGCTTTGACCTTGAGCACCCCGCCGGCTTCAGTGACGAAGTATCTGCGTTGCTAAGCTTTTGGCCAATGGGAATTTGACTGCCATTTGGCTGCTACAGACGGTCACAGACAACGCCTGCTTCGCTCCATGGGACAGCTAGTGCTTTCGCATTAAGAATGTTTATTGGTAGCGGGCACGCCCGCTACCATTACTCGGGTAAATTCCCCCAGTAAAACAGTCGACTAATGTGCACGCGCGTGGACGGATCAGCGGAGTGGTTCCGGATCCCAAGTAGCCCCAAGCTGCCGCTGTCTCGGACAAACTACGTTTGAGCAGCTGTTTGCGCGTGCACGTGATGATTCATAATCTGGAGCAGTTAGAATTTTGAATCCTTCGACGGACAAGGCTGTTTATACTCCAACGTCAACGAACGCAACACGAGCCAGAGCAAAACGACGTGGCTACCGTGTGTTTCCATTTCCTGGTCGGTACAAATCATGCGATCGGTATGCCTGATTCGTCCATGTCGTGTGGTCATGCTTCAAAGCAGCGACTTGAGGTAGTGGTTAGCAGTTCGAAAACAAGAAAATTACGGGGTTAACGAGTGTACACTAGCTTCCTCAAGGAAAATCTCAGAAAGTTTTGGGCGCATTTCACGAAAAAGAGTGTAACAATTAAAGATAATATTCATAACGGGCTGACGCTTGTCGATGAACAGTGCATCGCTAGAGAGTTTAATCATTTCTTTTCATCCGTGTCCACTCTCGATAGCTCTGCCTTGCCATCATTCACGTATGACAGTAACGGAATCAGCGATTCAGTAGTCACTACAGAAGAGATCTTCGATAGCCTTCTACGGTTACACATTAAAAAGTCGTGTGGACGGGATGGAATTCCTAACGCTTTCCTTAAAAAGTACGCCGAATGGTGTTCCAAGTTTTTTTATGTTATTTATTCTTGCAGTTGGAGAACAGGTCAGTTTCCACAAGATTTGGAAAGTAGCCAAAATAGTACCTATATATAAGAGTGGTGCGAAAAAGAGCGTTTTCAATTTACCTGTATCGTTGTTAAGTACGATTGGGGAAAGATGAAATGCGAACACAGGAGCGCGTGGCTGGCTGTACATGCTGCGCCGCCTGGAAGTGAACCTAGGGGCGAGGGTGCGTGGCCTACTTCGATGTGTTCACGTCCCTCGATTGGCGCTCCCCCAGCTTCGGCAGTGCGCCTCTCAGTGCGCTGAAAGCTGTCACCGCTATCTTTGCTTGCTCGGCGAGTGCGGCGAGCTTCTTTGCACCGCACGCGCTGAGCCAGCAAAGATAGCTGTGATAGCTTTCAGCGCACTAAGAGGCGCACTGCTGAAGCTTGGGGAGCGCAGAGGGAGGGGCGTGAACACATCGAAGTAGGCCACACAGCCTCGCTCCAAGGCTCACTTCCAGGTGGCGCATCCTGTACCGCGAGCCACGCGCTCCTCTGTTCGCATTTCATTTTTCCCCGATAGTACATGTAGCAAGTTTCTTGAACATTTTATTTTCAAGCACATCATAACTTTCCTAGAATCCACATCGTTTATAATAGATGAACAACACGGGTTTCGTAGAGGGTGCTCGACTGTGACACAACTTCTTCCTACGGTTCATATTTTTGGTACAGTAATCGATAATGGTGGTCAGGTTGATACTATTTTCTTAGGTTTCGCAAAGGCATTCCACAGGGTTTCCCATGGCAAGTTACTACATAAGCTGATCGTACTAGATAATAACAACCTCTTGGCATGGTTAGACTCTTAACTTACTTACCATAAAAGTTCGTGTCTGTGGGCAATGCAGAATCCATTGAATTACCTGTGCTATCTGGAGTGCCCCAGGGATCGGTACTCGGTCCATTGCTGTTTTTAGTTTTTATGAAAGATCAGATGGTGGATTAACCCTCGATACAGTGTCGTTTTTTTTTTTTTTTTTTGCAGATGACTGTGTATTGTTTTCCAAAATAGATTGCGTTCCTGATCAAACATGTTTAGATGATAGCTTTAAAATTATTTCATTGTAGTATCAAAAATGGCAAATGGACTTGAACGTTAAGAAATGTGCGCAAATGACACCAAAGCTGAAGAAGGTACCGCTTTTCCCCCCTATACTATCAACTCCTATGCGTTGGCAGTGGTCCACGACTACAAGTATCTAGGTGTCACAATTGCCTCTTACTTAAGCTGGTCCCTTCACATCGGGCAGGTTGTTGCCCAAGCGTCCAGAAAGCTGAGGTCACTGCAGAGGACTAGGTTTCACTACACTCCTGGAACGAAGCTAACAGCGTATAGAACACTAATTCGTCGTTTACTAGATGATGCCGACATATTATGGGACCCGCATTCACAATCGTAAATAAACCAGTTTGAGGGGGTTCAAAGAAAGTCTCTTAGACTCATTTATAATTCATATGGCCAAGAAGCACATGTCTCACCATTGTACACTGCGTCTGGACTGCCTGAGTTGTCATGCCGAAGGAAAGTAAATCGCCTAAAATTTCTACATCACATTATACACAACAAACCGTGTTTAAAGTTCGACTACTATCTTCAGTTTAACTTGAGCCGTGACACCTGACATAAGCATGAGAAACTATTTCGTGAGTTTCATTGCAGGAAAGACATTTTAAAATATTCTTTTTTTCCGCGTACTGTTTGTGAGTGGAACGAGTGGCCCCGCATCGGGATGGACATTGCCTCCTTCGCTTCACTCTCTAATGCCATTGAGGAACTTTTTTTTTGTTTGAATGAACCGTACGGAATAAGATGCTTACGCGTTTTACTGTACGTTTATAACTACTTATTTGTTTTGCTGACCTTTTTTCTTTCGTCTACTCCATGCCTTGGCCCTCAAGAGTGGGCCGGCAGTATCTTTAAAATAAATAAATTAATTAATTTTCACCGAAATTTCACACACATGTTGAAGGAAAAACAAAAGTAAAAACCAAATATCGCGTCCGTAGGAGCTAGTCGCTTGGCGGGTTCGCCGGAGTCGTGTCAAATCGACTCCGGTGAATTTGTCGGAACACTTTGATGGAAGCGTTGCACTCGATATTCCACAACGACCTCTTCCTTACCGCTACTATCGTTTACGAGACAAACGTTTCCACCACTCCTACCGGACAAGTTACATCTGGTTTCCTGTTTTTTTCTGGCACCGAAGACCACCCGAAAAGGGGCTTAACCTTTCTAATTTTTGCTGAGCTTTGAAAAATAAATTTACACCCAACCTTTTTGCCACTGATATAAAGTTATCAAAGATTTCATGGTAGTAAGGCAAAGAGACAACATTCTTCGCAACCGGCTTTTCTACAGGAGCCGGATTAAGCCTTCCTAAATCCTTGAGCGTTATTATCAATTACATCCTGGTGATGGCCCGCTTCCGAAAGACGCAACTTTTGCAACTCAACTGCTTCTCCAACCCAATGCATCCAAGATTTTTCGCAGGCGTTATCCACCCCAGACGCAATTACACCCCTCTTAACTACTTTCGAGTGACAGCTGCCAGCTGCCAACAGAGGCTTTGCTGATCCCTTGCTGCACCTCCACCACAGGACCTTTTCTGGGTTGTGCATGATTACCCGCGTGCAGGGTCCCTGTCGCAAAAGTCCCACGTCTGCCAGAGAGAGACCCAGCACGCGCCCTCTTCTCTGATCTCCTTTCGCCTTTACAGCGGCCTCGTTCTTTGGCAATTTGACGGGCTTTCTAGAATGAAGGAGGCTGGCGACGCGCATTTCAGCCGCGGCACGTGGTGGTCAGGAGACGAACGAGAAGCTTACTCTTCCGGGAAGCCGCTGGGGAAGATGGACATGCCGGGGTTGTCCATGACGACCTGCAGTATGTCCGAAGAGCTCATGGCCAGCTCCCCGACCTTGTCGCCCTTTTCGAGAATGGCCTCCACTCGTCCGCGGAGCTCCTGCGGGGTGAAAGGAGTCCACGTTTTCGTTCCCGAACAAGTTGCACGGACTCGAAGCAGATGAAGGAGGAGGGAGGTGATCTGAATTCGGCCTCGTCCGAGAACCGGAACCCCTGCCAGCAACGCCTCTTATTAAGCCACGACCGCACTGCTGATGCACTATGATACAAAAGACCGCCTGCAGACAATGTATTAGATTTCTTTTTCTCGTGTGACGATCATAATGGTCATACGCAGGCTGTCTGCGGACATGTTGGAGGCTTAAAAATGCACGAAGCAAGCGTGCCTAGAATTTGCTCGAGGCCTGTCTGTAGATACTTCGGTCATCGTGTGTGAAGCGGACACCATGTCTTTTATACGAGGTATGAGCAGCGCCATTCCGGCTTCATGCTGCGTGTCACCATCGGTCAGGGCGCACTAGATGTCGTGGCGTCGCCGCGTACAAAAGGTGTTTCCACGTCATATCATGCACTGATGGTCCGGGTCATTTCTGTTTTTTTATGTAAATATAAGACGTTAAAGCCACGTTCTTGGGAGAAAGAGGGAGCATAAACTTTATTTCTACACGCGTGGTCCGGCGCTCGTTAAGAAAGTTCTGGGGTGACTACAATTTCTGAGCATTCAGCTATATGCGAACGCCGCAGCCAATTTTCTTCCGGAGATATAAAATTTCGAAGCTCGACGCGTGGAGATTGAAAAAGTTCGCAGGGTACTTTACATGCACCGCCGTCAATTTCACAGTGAAGCATGCACGTAGTAACATTTTTTTCTAATTATTTAACGAAAGGTTTACGACATGTACGCAGAATGGTAAAAAAATACAATAATTACTTCTATGGGAACAAATTTATGAAACACTGCGAATAAACATGTTTTCGAGACACGTTCACAAATGATTTCCAACGAATTACTTCATATAAAACGACGTAAAATATATAAAAAGGATCACCTTTAAATGCATTTTACAAAAATATAAGGACAAAATATGCTTCTCTCTTAGTGTAGGTCTAGCACTAAGGCAGAAACGCAGCTCATATTTTTTTATTTTTTTTGTGGCAAAATTGCACGTTTTAACATTTAAAGAGGCTTCCACTTTTTTTAATTTTCTGTAATCGTTTACAGTTACATGAACTAACTTGTGATGGCAAAACATTACGTAACATATGACGTCCTTAGAGTGGGGTCACACTGCTTATACATCCTACAAAAGACAGTCTGCATACAGATTCGAACATGAATCACCGCGAGATTCGTGCTTCAAATGCCGCATGGCAATGACTTCGAGGAAAAACTTGGCACGCGGAATTGGAACCGGGGATATGGCGGCGATTCGTGTTTGCAGGCTGTCTTCTGCATGAAGTATGAGCAATGTGACTCCGGCTTTAGAGAAAAGTGACAACAAACGATCACTCAAACTGAACTAGCTTGTCTACGCTATAGCGCCTTTGCAGCATGACGTCGGCTCCATTCTTGAACCGACAAAGAGTGTACAACGGTGCTGCTCTATCGTAGGGTGTAAAAAACCTGGGTGTCCCTAGTTTAGCTTTATATTTGTTTTAGAGCGCAGCTGTTAGGCGCCAGTTTCCGGCTTGAGCGGCGTCGCCGTCGGCGTAACCATGAGGTCACGTGATCCCCGTGAGATCACGAGGGTCACGTGTCCTCACGGTTACGCCGACGCCGCTCGGAGAGAGGAGTAGCAGGCAGGATGAGGAGGTGAGGAGGAGGAAGGAGGGGTATACCCTCCCCCTTTAGTTCCCTTCCCTCCTCCTCCTCATGAGCTGAGCTCAAATTCGGCGTTACAGGGAGTTGTAAACGGCTTTCATTTCTTCCTTTCGTGGCCACCTAACCCCCCCCCCCCCCCCCCCTTTTTCAAAACACGTCGAACTTGAGTGTATTTGACGGAGCGCCGTAAAAGCCTGCGCATTCCTTATATGTCTACAATGTGGATGGATTTAACAGTCTTCAATTATTCCCATCAAATATTTATTCTTTTCCCTACATTTTCCCTTTGGCAGGAACTAATATTACATCAACCCTTCTTTTCTGCGATGCGTAGTTTTCACTTGAACGTGTTGGCCTACGTTAAGTGAAAAGCCCTGTATGTACAGGTGAGTGCTTCTCCTAAGGACATGACTTTCATATGGTCTATCATATATTGTACTGAAATATACAAAATATAACCCGGACCATCGCTGTACCAACTGACATAGAAGCACCCAACCACAAAACTTTCACGATTACTAAAATCTACCTGTATTCCATTGGGTATGCATGCATACTTATTACTTAAAAAGGGTAGGTAGGTTTGTTTGTCGTCGCACAATGTTGAACAACAAGGTAAAGGGACTCTCTGGATGCTACTCCCATAGCCTCGCTCTACCGGTGATAGACCTTCCTCGTGTGAGGGCTTTGGCCCCACGGTAATGTGCTGTTAATAATACAGTTCTCAACTGCCTGCAGCAGTGGCGTCCGCCCACATTCCTTCCTGAGCTAATGGCCCATGGGAGGGGATGGGGGTCTTAGGAGACAACGCAAGAAAGCACAAATATAAAACTAAATAAGCTAGAGGCAGCATGACTTTCTATAACCTACGATAGAGCAGCACCGTTGTACAGCCTTTGTCGGTTGTAAAAAAAAAAGGTCTCTTTAGAGCTCACGTAGTGCGGAAAAACCCGTATAATGAAGAAAAGCTAGCTCACTTTGAGCCAAGGTTTTTTGTCATTTTTCTCTTAAGGAAGTCATACGTTACTCAATATTTTGACATCACAAGTTAGCTCAAGTAACTCTTTTCAGTTAAGGATCGTTAAGAAAAAAAAATTTTTTCTCGTTATTGACGTTTTGTTTTGACACATATAGATAAATGAGCTGCGTTTCTTAATCAATAACAAAACCACAATAACAGCGAAGCATACGTTTCTTACATATTCGTAAAATGCATTTTTAGGATGATCATTTTGATATATTTTGCGTCGTTTCATATAAAGCAGTTCGTTGGTAAATAATTTGTGAATGTGTCTCTAAAACGCGTTTATTTGACCTAAGTCGTTTTTCTTTTTGTTGTGTCTTTTTGTGGAAATATTTGGTGGTAATTTTTAATATTTCGTGTACATGTTGTAAACCTTTCATAACATAAGTAGAAAAAATTATTACTACGTGCATGCTTCGGTGTGAACTGGACGGCTGTGCAAATACCACAGCGAGACCTTGGCAATCTCTACTCCTCGAGCTTCGTAATTTTATATCTCCGAAAGAACACTAGCTACGGTATTCGCATATAGCTGAATGCTCCTTTCAAGAACACGGCTCTATTTCCTGGAACCCACACGGCAGCCCGGTGAGTTGGAGCTCACACATCCAGTGAGGTCCCGGTGAACCGACCGTAAGGTCGCGACACCTCATCTGGCTACACCCCATAGACTAGTCGGCCCCGCGCGCAGCCTACAGGTGTGTTCGTGTTTGTAGCGCCCAAGGGAAGTGACCCATGGAGAGACTCGTCTCGGACCTCCTTTCATTGAACTTACAACTCTGTTTTGTGTGTACCGAGCGTCGAGCTCGAGTTCCGCCGTAACCCGAGCTCGCAGTGGAAGGTGCATTACTTCATCGCTGACATCACGTCAACAAAAATAAAAGTAACCGTTTCAAAAAAAAAAAAAAATATATATATATATGTGTGTGTGTGTTTGTGTGTATGTGTGTGTGAGAGAGTGCGTGCGTGCGTGCGTGTGCGTGCGTGCGTGTGCGTGCTTGCGTACGCGCGTGCGTGCGTGCTTGTGTGCGTGTGGAGTTGCGGAGTAGCGGAGGAAAAAGACGACAACGTTCGGTTAAATCGGAAGTGTTTTTTTTTTCATTTACCTTCTGATTGAAACATTCTTACGAAAGTCTTGGCTAACCTATCCTGATCATTTTGCTGTTCCCCGTGGTCCGGGCCGTCAACTGCCTGGTCTGCAGCCGACGGTGAGTTCCTGGAAACAGCACCCAGCCCTACACTAAGCTCTGTCGGCTCGGCATAAAACAGCTTTGTCAGTAGTCGACGTTCCAAAGACTCCGATCATGACTCAACCACCTCCAAGGCAATCTGAGAGCGAGACTGGAGGTCTGCTGCTGTCCAACGCTCTTATAAAAGATACAGCAACTCTAGGACCCTCATCGGACATCCTCGGCAGATAACTATCAATCCTAGTCAAACGGCCAAGCACAGACAAAACCGAAAAAAAAAATTTGAAGATGCTTGCTACTCGGTGCGTGACTCAATTGAACTGGATGAGGACAAGATTCCATTCACCCTGGTATCTTAAAAGAGAGACCGCCCGGCCAGGATACCTGTCGTGTTCAAGCCAGTCACAAGTGAGCAGTCCTTCAGGGGTAGAAATTTCAGTGCCGTTGCTAATGAGATTCTCAACATCACAAGAGAAAAACTCCCTTCTCACCATACCGACAAAGATGATAGTATGCCTGCTTGCGTCGCGTCACTTCAAGCGGCGAACACGTTCCTGGCAGTGACGTCACCCTGTGTAATGGAAGTGACAAGTGCACCCTATTCATACTCCCGGAGCCTCTGGGAGATCAAGGGAGTACCCGTAGAGCATTCGGACTGTGAGCTGCTGGTTTACCTAAAAGATTTCGGAGTCATCTTCGTTCAACGCCAAGCGCCTTACCGACTTCAAGACGACGGTAACATTGAACACCGCAAGACGGAGAGCATGCTTCTTTACTTTCGACCTGACCGTGAAATGCCTTTAGCGTACCTTACTGGGATTCACAAGTCACCCGGTAAATGCAGTACTTTGGCCCACCAGTACAATGCTTTAGGTGTCAAAGCTGCGGCGGCATAGCAAGGTTTTGCCGTGGATCGCAACGCTGTAAAGTGTTTGCAGAAGCTCATAGCCACAAAGAATACACCTCCAGACGAGAAGCAAAGTGCCCAAATTGCGGAGGTGGACATTCTGCCGCATTTTCTGGGTGTCCACGTAGGAAGACGGCCTCGACAATACGAAAAGAAA